TTACACCTACAGAATTAGTGGAGATCTGAACACACAGAGAGTTAGACTGGGGAGGGGTAAAGGCGACTTGTGACAGCAGATGCGACACGTAACGCAGATCATCCACCCGGCTCTGTCTCGGCGACTGAGCGGCAGGCCCAGGCCCAGAGAACAGGCCCACCGAGGTGGACTCGATGGAAAGGAAAGAAACAGAAGTAGGTCAGAAAAGCTAGGAAGCAGATTAAATGGAAACAAAGTTTCCAGCGCATGTGAAGATGCTGGGAAGGGCGCAGCCAAGCCTGTGCTACAGAAAAGGGGAGTGAAAGTCGGGAAACAACGCCCCCGGGCCATGCTGCTTTCGCTTGGTCCACTGCAGTCAGCATAGACTCTAACTTGCACAGTACCCGAGTTCCAGAAAGCCAGGCTCACAAACGGGGTGCAAACGAACGTCCCGTGTCAAGGGGGCGCCTCGGTTCATTTTAACAACGGTACCCACAATTCAGTTGGGGAAAAGGCGAAAGCAAGCGCACGTGCGCGTCTCCACACACACGGGCACACGCACCGACACGGGGACACACTGTGCCCACGGCTGTTCGCGGGATACAGAGAGGCACCCCGGCATCTCCCCTGCTTCTCCAAGGCGACCACCCTGAGGGCTGCTCAGTGAGGCTAGCGCACTTCGGCGGAAAGGTGGCCTCTCTGCAGGCCCACATCCGACAGGCATTCCACACGTCTTTTCCTTTCTGGAGAGCAGGCCTGTGGTGCCGCCTATACAGAACTGTCACAACTGATTTTCAAACCACCGCAGTAAATTGTCGGGGCGATGCTCCATCTAGAAACGCCTTTCAGGACGCCACAGCCCCAGCACCGCTGGCGCCGTGGGGGTCGCTCCACAGCAGACGGCCCCGCTTCCCCGTGCACTGGTGACCGCAAGCACAGATGGACCTGGCTGCTCTCACGATGACCACCAGCTCTGTAACCCAGAAGTGCCTCCCCAACCCCGGCAGGGGACACACCCCAGTGCTGCTGCGACACTGTAGACAGGACTCACGTCTTACACACTGAATTAATAAAATTGAGATTTTGTGCTCATGTCCAGATTTCTTGACTCGAGCAAGGTCAAACGTAGCAAACTGCTACATTTGATTTTAATCCACTATATTGAGTCATAACTCACATACCATAAACCTTTCGACGGCCGGCTGGGGAGGCTGACAGATGCGCGGGGCGGTGCGGGCCATTCACACCTGTGACCGACCCCTCAGCCCAACGGCCTTGCGCCCTCACAGCCAGCTGTGCCTGCAGCACTCCAGCACGCTCCGGCCCATGCAGCTAGGAGTCACCCACCCACTGACTGATGTTCCACACGTGCACATTTGTGAATTTCATACCATAGATACCTGTCTACAAACCAAAAGAAACATAAGAGATAATATGAAGCTGTTCATTCATCCCTGAAAAAAGCAGTGTGTTTGACCTTGCTGGGGAACACAAAGTACTCTCCGCCCCTCTGAGGGATAAGGAAACTTACAAAAAATACTCTCAGGTCTTATTCATACAATGACAAGAATGAACTATTCAACTCGAATCAAGCCACAATACCCTCTGTATACAAAATCTCACTTAAGATGCTTTTTAAAGACTGACCTGCTCTATTCGCTGTCTTGTCTGCAGGTAAGGGTCGTATCTAGCACGGATGGCTCGCATGGAGGTTGGCTAAAAAGGGAAAATACGGTTAGGCCTGGTCTGAAACAAACATAAAGAGCGCTTTCAAAAGGGTTATTTGACATTTAATTCTCTACGATTTTGAATATCAAGAACCTGATGTGTGTTCTTTCGGTGTGGCCTCTGTCCCAAGCGTCTCCGGGGATCACATCTACCCAGCTTTACGGAACACCTGAGCCCCCAGGATCACCACACTGTTACACTCCTCGGACACAGGTGTGCCCACACCAGGCACTTGGTGAAATAGCCTTTGAGCAAGATTACTGGGCATGGTGTGAGTTACCAGGAGTGAAGCAGCCTCAAATCATGCCATGGGAGCAACAACGCAGATTTAAAATGATCGCTGAGAGACACTGTTACTGGAAAAGGCCAGGGAAGGCTGGCACTGTCTCCTGTGGAAGGCAGGACCAGGCCCGTACAGCCAGCACGGCTGGAGAGGTGTACCAGGAAGGAGAAGACACTAAACGTCTGCTGAAAAGAGCGGCATGGGATAGGGGTGAGAACCTTCCCTTAAAGATTTTCAGAACCATGGAAAAACACGGGAAACAGGAGCAGGAGAAGCACAGGGTTTGCGCTGCCCCCCTCGGCCCCACCCATCAAGCCACCTTGTCAAGCGGTCTCAGAGCACTTCTCTCTTGCTTTACACTCAGTGACCCGGATTACAAACCCTGCTCCCACCTCTCCCTAGTTCCCCCAGTTTGCTCCACAGCACCCCTCACCTCCCTGCCACAGGTCTTCCCTCTGCTGGGCTGCTCTCCCGACCTCCTTGCCATGCAGCACTCAGGCTAACCTCAGAGACGCCTGCTCACCAGGGCGGGCGCCCGCCAGCGCTGCCCCTACTCGGTTTCACTTCTCCCTGAGCAGTCCCAGTTCCTGGCAGCTCGCTCTGGTTTGCTTGTTTACTGTTTACTTCCCTGTGGAAGGTCGATTCTGTAAGGCGGGGCCATGTCTAACCGTCACAGCTGCGGTGGCTGCACAATGTGGTGCCGGGGAGCGGGGAGGGGGGCTGCCTCCTACCAGCGGGTGCCTCAGGGCCTCTTAAGCCTTCCTGGCCTCAGCTTCCTTGCCCCCAGACTGGGGTAATGACAGTGCTGCCCTCAAGGCTGTGAAGCTGAAAACTATAAAGCACGTATTTAAAACAGCGTTTGACACGTTAACAATCACGCTTACGTGTTAACTCCAGCAAAGAGCGATACACGTCACTAGGAGATGCTCAGCAAACTATTTATGAATGAGCAACTTTCACAATGGGATAATAAAAAAACTCTTCACAAACTCTACCTGTAAAAGCACCACAACACGTGCCATGACACTTCCAGGGGCCCATTACCTCATATCCCGTGTAGGACTGGGTAGAATACTCGAAGTCGGAATCGGGGCCGCCGGGGCAGTACCTGCCAAGACAGGAGCGGTGGGTGGGCGGTCAGACGCGGGCGCTTGCCAGCCCCGGCAATGAGCTGCAATCCGTGAAACTGCCATCACTCGGGCTCCCTTCTTGAGCCCCAGGCGGAGTCTGCTGCTGCAGGACCGGCGCGCAGTTTGTACTGACAAGCAGACACGCGCGCAGGGGCTACATCCCGTCAGCTCAGAGCCTGGAACCCAGGCATTTGAGAGACCTGGGGGAGCGAGCGGGCCAGCACCTTCTGAGCGTGGGCTGAGGCTTGCAGGGCTCGCTCTGGTAACCAAATCTTTCTCCACCTAGGGTCATGCAGTCTTCTGGTATTATTATTATTATTATTATTTTTTTACAAGTACCTAAACTTTGAAAGTTTAAATATTACTTATAAAGATAAGTTTTTATTTTTGTATATTTCTGATGCAGATTTAGGTCTAGTTTCTGACATTTGGGTTTCTGGTAACTTATAGCTCCACACTTCATTTATCAAGTTAACAGAACGCTGAGTGTTTCGAGGTCTGAGAATGATGTATGTTCATTGTATACTGCAACAAATTAAAATCTTCATTTGTTCCCATTTTCAAGGCACCGAAATGCTATTAGTGGCTGCTCGTTTCAAAGAACTGACGTAGGAAGCTACGAAATCAACATCCTAAGCACTCCCAGTATGCAGGCCAGGACTCGGGGGCACGTAGACACACAGGGCGCATCAACCCAGTACTTACACACATATGTTTCCTGTAAAACTGATGTGTGGACACCGGTGGGGCTTGCACATCACAGCCACAACCGCGATCTACGGAGAGCAGGAAAGCCGTCAGTCACCAGCACAAATCCTGCAAGGTGGGGCCCTCGGGAGGCCGGAGAAGAATGCAGAGTGGCTTCCAAGGTACTGGCAAAGCTGTTTTCAAGCCTCGCTCCAAAAGGACATCCGTAACGGGACAAGCGGAAAGTCCATGCCGAGAGCACAGGACGACGTGGGACCACTCCTGCGACGCCCACATGTCGCCGGGCTACCCAGAAGGACACCTGATTCAGCCAGCTCAAGGGACAAGCAACAAAGTAAGTTGCATGAAACCTTCCAAACAGGCCCAGGAGAGCCGGAGGGAGCGCCAGACTGAGGAGGCTGAGGAGACAGGCCACACAACAGGCGCCGCCTGAGCGGCGGGCACTGACCGCCCAGGGTCTGCGGGCCGGCACCGGGACAGGCTCCTACCACTCTGTGCACATTCAGGGTCTCTCCGAGCTGGTCGCGGCACAACCCAAGGCCCTGTGGCTGTCCCGAAGGAACGACCAACTCCCTCATCTGGGCACTCACTGTGCCCTGCACCCGCTGCACCTACTGCCCAGCTCCTGCACCCGTGACTGTCCAGTGACTCTTCTCCGGCGCTGTGCGTGGCACTGGCTGTCCAACAAGCTCCGGCCCACTAGCTAGTCTCTTTCACTGCAGGGCCATCTCATCTCCCCGTTGTGCTGACCGTTCACAACGACCTTACAAGGGCAGACGATTCTGCACCATTAACTACCTTTAAATGTGACTTTGGAGAACATCAGTTAGAGCGGAAGCTCACAAAGGGAGCAACAGTCACCACCCTGAGAGTGTCACCACGCCTCCATCTACGTGGTCAGCTGGTCTCCAGCACAACACTGCCCCCTCCCTGGGCCCTCACAGCACTCTGCACGGCTCCACTCCAGCAAAGAGCGCAACGTGTGGATTTCACTGGCCTGCACCCCCAAGTCCACCTCCCGGGAGCTGCATGGCGACAGACATCTCTGGTGAACAGGACACCAGTCCGCAGCTCATGAACCAAATCACTTACCCCACTGGCAGTTCTGATGGGTTTTGCCTTTAACTTGGGCACCAAGACCTTGCGATACTGGGGTGGGACCGCAGCAATGAGGTCCACCAGGCGGGGCTGTGCTGAAAGGCCGTATTTGGCAGCTGTCCTGGTTTTCACCCTGGGAATCAAGCATCGAGCATCATCAGCATCAGATTTCAAGGACAAGCTATCCCAAGGCTGACCCACAAGTAACACCAACTCCCCTGGCCCTCTCACCAGGTGACAGCGGCGGCTTTGTCACTATCAAGGAAACAGAACCAAATTCACGAATGAACAACACCCTCTCCTCACTCTAGCGCCCCAGAGGGCCAGTGACCCCATGAGGGCCAGAGCGGAAACACAGTGGAGGCTCACACAGAGCAGCGCTCCGGCCTCCACGGCCTCGTCCGCCTCCCTCGAGCGCCGCAGCGCGGCGTCTGTGCTGACCAGCGTTCGCGGCTCTTCAGGAGCTGACAGGGTGCACCGAGCTCGGCCTCTAGCCGAGCCCTCCTCCTGCCACGACAACCGAAACTCCTCCCGGCTGCAGTGTCTCCCGGTGGAGTGGCAGTGGGGCGCACATGCGGTTTCGAACCAAAAACTTCAAACAAACAACGCTAAAAAAGAAAGCCACCTGGAAGCAAGCAGGAAATAAGTACGTCCCTGACTAATGCAAGCGAAAGAACCGAAAACATAAAACCTAGCAAAGGCAAGGTCGCTACGCCAAGAAACCGAACGTGAGCAGCCCCTCCAAAGCCACTTGCGCCTGCCCTGGCTGGACCCTCACCCTCTGCCCAGAGGCAGCCTTTGCTCGGACTAATCATTCGTGCCTTTGCTCGGACTTGACTGCTTTCTTTTTCGTGTGGCTACTAACCAAGCCCTAAGAGTCACCTTATCTTCCCATTTCAGCCCTTCTAGAAATACCTATGGGCTGTGCCTCCTGACACAGTACACACTTAGGTATCAGGTAGTCTGGTGTGTGTACGAGTTACTTTGTCAACGGTTACTGAAAACTACGTGACCACCCCAGACACATAAATACAGGCATTTCACGCTTTATACCTGCACACGGTCACGAACAAACGGTGCTCACATGCTTTCCTAACCACGAACACCTGTAGCGCTGAAGACAGGCACTCGCTCACTCCAGGGATAATCGAGGCAAGCACGAGCAGACTTCAGACAGGCGGGGCGGCGCGGAGGCCACTCCCCGAGCGGCCAGGCTGGTGCGTGCCAAGATGCAAGGGCAGGAAAGCTCGCGTTCTGAGACAGAGCACGACCTGACAGAAAGCAGATTTGCAATGCAAAGATAAAGTTGGAAAAGTAAGTTGAAGCCAGACTGAGGTCTGAGGAACCTGCAGGTAATCCCACATGCTTTGGGAATATTTTGAAGGTTCCTGCAAAGGGAAATGACAGGAGAAAAATAAAACAAAGAAACAATCCAAAAAGATTAAAGGGTTCCGCATAACAACTGCAATAGTCTAGACTTAGGCTTCAGAGGGATGAAGAGGGAACTGGCAGAAACGAAAGCCAGTCATCACAGAGAAGGGAGGCAAACACAGGCCTGAACCGAGCCTGAGGAGAAGGACCGAAGGATGACACTGAGCTCTCAAGCCTCGGTGAAGTCTACACAAGTGAAAAGCAGTTGTGATTCCCGTCACAAATGTCCACTACGCACAATGTTCCAAGTAAGAGCAGTATGTAGCATTTTATGAAATGGGAAAAGGGCCTCTCTGTGATTAGGTCACAGAAAAGTTGGGGGGCGGCAGAGGGACAGATCCCTTCACTATGGCAGATGGAGACGGGGGAAAGGACGCAGACACGAAAGAGCACGCTTACTTAGGGGCCAGGCAAGGTCCCTGCAGGTGACCGGGGACAGGAGGACGGACACGTCTGAGAAGTTTTAAATGGGGTTGGTGGGGCTCGACGGAGGCCTACAGGGAGCCATGGCTTCCCTGCAGCAGCAGGGATGGGAAGGATGCGAGGGACGAGGTGGCGGATGGCTCCAGGTGCGCTCGGCCCCAGCGCTGGCTGCCGGGCAAATGCTTAACCTACCCCGGAGCCCCATGCCCCACGCAGGGCCAGAGCCGCCACCCCGTCCGAAGCATGAGTTGGCGCACGCAAGGTGTTCCTCACTGAGCAGAACACAGTAAGCAGCGCACGCTGCAAGCATTACGATGCTATGAGGCAATTCTGCCCTCCACATGTAACAAGGAAGATAACAGACTAAAATTCGTAACTAGAAAATGAAACGCAAGCACAGAAGCAGTAGCTGACAATTTCGGAAGAGACCCACTACCGAGCTGGAGGGCCTGCGTGGCCACCGTCACTCACTTGTTGAGGTCGATGTCTTTCCCCTGCTCGTGGGCTTCAATGAGTTGTCTGATAACATCTCCTATGGTCAGCATCATTAGCTCAGCAGGGCTGAGGTCCCCTGGAGAGAGAGTATTTGACAATGCAAAAAAGCATACAATTCAGTACAGTTTTGATATTAGCAGTTTTCTTTCCAAAATCATTCCAGTTACGCCTAATGAACTGCTCAAGCTCACAAGATGCTAAACCTCTTCTGTTACAATTTGAGCCTCTTTTGTCTTCAGTTTATAAGAAACCAGGCTTTGCCAACAGATGGGGAAAGCTCAGTCTGGAAACAGACTTTACGAGGATGACAGAGGAGACACATGCCTGGGGAGAAAGAACCTGCTCACGCAGGCCAGGGCCACAGGAGCTAACAATGGCTTCCCTAGCGAAGCCTACGGGGTTTACAACTGTGATGGGAAAAGGCACAAAATGATGTAAAAAAAAACTATTAAAAAAAAAAAAAGCGTCCCGAGCTCTCCAGAGTTGAAATGACTGATATTTGCGTAACACAACTCACAAGGTGCATTTAAGTGCACCCTTTCACCTGATTCTTTGAACAGCATAAGGCAGAGGAACATTTACCCCTCATAAAAATTCCCCACCGGGGGAAGCATTAAACTCAAAGCCAGGGTCGCGGGTTCTATACCCGTCTAAGGTCTTAATGCATCTCCAAGGTACTACTTGTCCGCCACCACGATCTTCGGCCACCGGGACTCCCCTATCTAAAAGGCAACAGCAGAGGCCATGTTCCCCCAGGACGCCAATCCCCGGTCACGTGCCTAACAAGGGTGGGCACCTGTAAATCAGGCCAATCTGGCTCCTTCTCTCAAGGCAAAAAATGCCAATCTCCCCACAGCACTAACAGCTGTGAGCTATCACCGTGGCGCCGCCAGCAGCTTCCAGAAAGCAGGCAGACAGGTTAATGCAGGCATCAGAGAGCACAGGGGAGACAGCCCTGGGGTGTCTGACGTCCCTGCATTCACTTTGTCTCCACGAAGCCTCACACCAACAGGAAGACAGGCTGCATCTCCACTCTACAGATCTGAAAACTGAAGGAGTGTGAAACTCTCACCCAGGTGTTCTCTACACAGCTTTCACGATATTTTTTCCCCCACTCCCTCTCAGTGAGGGCAAAGTTAACAAAGAATAATCCAAGAGGAAAAGTAAGTCCATCTATTATCAAAAGGTTAAACGCTTTTTTGGTGCGACGCTGGTCAAACCCGCGACTCAGCACTCTGGAGCGGTAGGTGCCGAGCCGGCCTGCAAAGGTGGGGTGGTGGCAGAGTGCCGCGAGGGGTTTCTCTGTCCATTTCAACCAAGGAGCGCCCCCTTTTCCTATTTATACATTGAGAGTCCTCAGTTTCTTTTGTGGGGAAAAAGAGGATTCAGGCGGCTGGAAAGCCACTGTGCGGCCTCTGAAAGCGTCACCTGTAGGCGAGTTGGTAAGACAAGGCTTCACCAAGATGGAAATGGCCGCCGCCTCCCCTTTCTCTCAGAAGGCAAAAGGGCACAGTGAGAGAGCCCGGGGAGCGGAAGGCAGCCTCCCGCCAGGGCTGGGGAAGGAGCAAGTTCACTGGCAGCCAGGCAGAGGCACTGAAATGGGGCGCAAGCGGTAGCCGAAGTTATTTAGACGTGAAAAAGGTTTAAAGAAACAGTAAGCAAAACATACTGAAGAAAATGAGGCCACAAAACCTTCTCCGAAGGTGAAGAAAGTACATACAATCTGGCTACAACGTGAGAGACTCCCGAGAGGCGAGTATCTCAGAAACAGTCACCGGATTTAGAGTTGAAAACCTGGACACACGCCGCCCCCCAAAGAGACCCCTGCTGTCTAGGTGCCAACTCCCTGCCCTGCGTTCCCACGTCCTCGCCTGCAAAGCGGGGACAGAGCGCTCGCGGCACCCACACAAGCCCCTGGAGGATTCTCTGGTGCAAAGCTTTTGCGCCCAGAATGCAGAAGACGCCCGGCGCGGCGCTGGGCAGGCGCTGGGCAGGCGTTGGGCAGGCGGCACCGAAAGACTCCACGGGAATAACGTAAACAGCGCGTTACCGTGAAGTCGGTACTGACGAAGGGGGCACAGGAAACTGGCAGAATGGCAGGAGTTAGCTACCCCAAGAGACGATTTCCAAGTAAGAACAGGAGTTGGTGGCAAGTTAAGGGCAAGCTGCCGGCCGAGGAGAAGCGGGCACTCGCTGCGCTGCCAGCCGCGCCCAGCGGACCGAGGGCAGGTGGCCTTCCCTCTGGGGGCGGGGGTCAGCTCTGGGCTGGGGAAAACCCAGCTCGTTCTCTGCATGGTGGGGTCTCCGTGTGTAAAACGGAGGTGACCCCGACTTCGGAATGACCCGTCAGCGCCCCTAAGAGACCGCGGCTATGGCCACAGCCACGTCGGTTTCCCGAGGGCGACCGCAGACGAGCCGAGGAGGCGGGAGGACCCCGGGCCGCGGCTGAAGGCAAACCTCGGGCGGAAGCCGCACGGCCGCGAGGTGCGGCGTGAAGCCAGCCTCGGCCGCGGAAGAGGCCGCGAGCCTGGGGCCCGCCGAGAGGCCCCGCGGGGGGCAGCTGCCCTCTGGCCGGCACGTGGGCTGGCTCAGGCCGTGGCCCCGTGGCACTCGGCCCCGGGAGAGGCAGGCCATTGCACTCCTTCGTTCCGTGACCCACGTTCCCCTCAGATGGGAGATCCCAGGCCGGGGTTCCCCGAGGCCCTCCGGGAGCTCGGGGGGCTGCGGCGACTGCCCCTGCCCCTCCCCATGGCAGGACAGAGGCGCCCCGGATCTCCTGTGGCTCCCTGCCCTGGGGAGGGCAGCAGTGGCCAGCAG